CATCCATCCATCCATCCATCATCCATCATCCATCATCCATCCATCCATCCATCATCCATCCATCATCCATCCATCATCCATCCATCATCCATCCATCCCTCTCCCCCTCCCGTTGGCTGTCCCGGCACAGGCAGACGGGGATGGGTCTGGGGGGCACCATGGCCCGCGTGGGGGGGATGGTGGCCCCCCTGGTGCGCATGGCGGCCGACGTCACCCCGGTGCTGCCGCTCGTCATCTACGGGGCCGCCCCCATCGTCTCGGCCGTGGCCACCTGCTTCCTGCCCGAGACCCGCAACGCGCCCCTGCCTGAGACCGTCAAGGACGTTGAGCGGCGGTGAGGAAACCCCCAGGACCTTTTGGGACATCCCAGAACCCCCCGGAACCCTCCCAGAACCCCGTGGGATCCCCCAAACCCTTCCAGGGGGAATATCCCTGGTTTGGGGTGGGATCGGTTCTTGGAGGAACCCACGAGCTTTGGGGTCAAAAAGGGATGAAGAAGGTTTTGGGGTCAGGTTGGAGGTTTGGGGTTGGTTTTGGGGTTGGGATGAAGGTTTTGGGGTCAGGTTGGAGGTTTGGGGTTGGTTTTGGGGTTGGGATGAAAGTCTGGGGTCGGGACAAAGGTTTTGGGTTGGAGGTTTGGGGTTGGGATGGAGGTCTTGGGGTCAGGTTGGAGGTTTGGGGTTGGAGGTTTTCGGGTCGGGTTGGAGGTTTTAGGATGGAGGTTTTGGGGTCGGGATGAAGGTTTTGGGGTCGGGATGAAGATTTGGGGTTGGAGGTTTTCGGGTCGGGTTGGAGGTTTTGGGATGGAGGTTTTGGGGTTCTGATGAAGGTTTTGGGGTCGGGATGAAGATTTGGGGTTGGAGGTTTTTGGGTTGGGTTGGAGGTTTGGGGTTGGGATGGAGGTTTGGGGTCGGGTTGGAGGTTTTGGGGTCAGAAAAGGTTGAAAATTTTAAGAAGACCTGAACAATTCGTGGAGAAAGCTGAAAGTTTTGGGAAAGGCTGAAAACTCTGGGATTGGGAAGGATTAAAATTCGGGGAAATTTTGGGGAACAACCGAGAGATTTTGGGGTCCCTCCAGGGCGGGGAACCTCGAGGACGACGACGTCGCCGTCCCCCTGAGCAGCACCAAGAGCAAGGACGGCGCCTGAGGGGGGATTTGGGACCCTCTGGGGGGGATTTGGGACCCCCCAGGGGGATTTGGGACCCTCTGGGGGGAATTTGGGACCCCCTGGAGTCCCCCAGCCCCTCCCCCACCCCCCCGGGGTTATTTATTCAATCCCAATAAAATCTCCTGGGAATTTCGGGATCCGGCACCGCCCGCGGCCGTTCCGGGGGGTCCCGAAGGATCTGGGGGTGTCCCCACCCCCCCCAAAGGGGGCTCAGACATCGGGGGATCCCCCCCGGAGCTCGTTAACGAGGATTAATTGGAATTCCCGGAGCTCGTTGGCCTTTGCCCCAATTCCGGCGATTTGGCTGCAAAATAAATCTGGGAAAGGGATTAATTCGCGTTTCCAGGAGGGGAAAAAAAACACCCCAAAAGGGGCAGATTTTTACCCAAAAAAAGAGCGGCACAAACCTCTCGGAGAAGCCAAATCCCGACCCCAAAACTGGGATTTTTCACCCCAAAAAACCAAGCGGCAAAACCTCAACCTCAGCCCTTCGAGAAGCCAAATCCCAGCCCCGAAATTGGGAATTTTTACCCCAAAATGCTCCATTTTTGACCCCAAATCCCCCATTTTTCTCCCCAAATCCCCATTTTTCCCCCCAAATTCCCCATTTTTACCCATATATTCAATTTTTCCCCCTAAATCCCCCATTTTCCCCCAAAAAACTTTCCCCCAAACCTCATTTTCCCCCCAAACCCTCCCATTTCTCCCCCAAAAAAACCCCACAAATTCCATTTCTTGCCGTTTTTATTACGAAAAATGAGCAGTTTTGGTGTCGTTTTGCTCTTTTCCCGGATAAGACACAACCGTGAAGCTTCGCCGAGGGGAATTTGGGGTCAATTCCCCCCATTTTGGGACATTTCCGTGTCCCCGCCCCCAGCAGGGAACGAAAAAAGGGGAATAAAAAAAACCCCTTTTTGAACCAAAACGCCGTCGATTCCCCCCAAAAATCCTGCTCGGGGACGGGGAGGAGAAAAACCACCGGGATGAGGCCTCGGATCCGGAATTTTGGGGGGGATTTTCGGGATTTGGGTCAATTTTGAGCACTTTGGGGTGATTTTTCAGTCGTTTTTTGGGGTTGTTTTGGTCGGTTTTGGGTCATTTTTGGGGGATTTCCAGGGATTTTTGGGGTTCTTTCGGTCAATTTGTTGCTGCTTTTGGGGATATTTTGGATTTGAAGAAGAATTTTGGGGGTGTTTCCAACGTTTTGGGGTTATTTGGTAATTTTGGGGTTGTTTTGGTGAAGTTTGGGGCTATTTTGAGTCGTTTGGGAGTTATTTTGGGTGTGGTTTTTAGTGCCGTTAGTTAATTTTTTTTGGTTATTTGAATATTTTTGGATTATTCCGGTGTTTTATTTTGGGGTTATTTTAGGAATTTGAGGGGTTGTTTTGGTCAATTTTGGGGTCATTCCAGGAAATTTGGGGCTACTTTGGTCATTTTGGGAATATTTCAGGGTTTTTTTTTGCATTATTCCGGTCATTTTGGGGTTATTTTGGTCAAATTTTGGGCTGTTTCAGTCATTTTGGGGTTCTTTCATTTTGTGCATTATTTTGTCCATTTTTGGGGTTATTTTTGCCCATTTTGGGGTTATTTTTGTCCATTTTTGGGGTTATTTTTGTCCATTTTTGGGGTTATTTTTGCCCATTTTGGGGTTATTTTTGCCCATTTTTGGGGTTATTTTTGTCCATTTTTGGGGTTATTTTTGCCCATTTTGGGGGTTATTTTTGTCCATTTTTGGGGTTATTTTTGTCCATTTTTGGGATTATTTTTGTCCATTTTTGGGGTTATTTTTGCCCATTTTGGGGGTTATTTTTGTTCATTTTTGGGGTTATTTTTGTCCATTTTTGGTTTTTTTTGGGCTGTTTTGGGGCCATTCTGGGGCCAAATTTGGGGGTTCTTTTGGCCCAATTTTGGGATTATTTTGGCCATTTTTGGGGTAATTTTGGCCATTTTTGAGGTTATTTTGGCCCATTTTGGGGTCCATTTTTGGGGTTATTTTTGCCCATTTCTGGGGTTATTTTTACCCATTTCTGGGGTTATTTTTGCCCATTTCTGGGGTTATTTTTGCCCATTTCTGGGGTTATTTTTGCCCATTTCTGGGGTTATTTTTGCTCATTTTTGGGGTTATTTTTGCCCATTTCTGGGGTTATTTTTGCTCATTTTTGGGGTTATTTTGGCCGTTTTGGGGCCCATCCCGGGGGCTCCTCTCGGGGGGGGGTTGGGGGTGCAGTGGGGGAGGGGCAGTCGGAGGTAGGTGCTTTAAAGTCCATTTATTTTTGTGTTTTTTTGTTATTTTTTTATAAAACCAGGCACATTCAGTCCACGGGACCCAGGGAAGGGGAAAATTTGGGATTTTGGGGGGATTTGGGGAATTTTGGGGGGGTCCCCACAGCCCCAAACCCCTCCCCTCCCCCTCCCCGGTGGCGTTTTGGTGCCAAAAAGGGGCTTTTTCTCCCCAAAATCCAACCTCAACCCCTCCCCCACCCCAAAACCCAACCCTGGGGGGGGGAGGGGAGCCAGGGGAAAACCCCAAAATTGGGGTTTTTTGCCCCATTTTGTGCCAGCCAGGGAGGGGTGGGGGGAGAATCCCCAAATCCAGGGATTTTGCCCCATTTTGGGGTGGTGGGGGAGGGGTAAGGCCTCGTGGGGGGGGGGGGGGGAGGGGGTGGGAGAATCCTGGGGGGGGGGGGGGG